ATCTCATAGTCCAAATCACTGAAATCAAAGTTCAGTATTATAGTGTAAGAATGACAACATGTCCACGTGTTCTGGTCTACTAATAATACAATTATAAGCAAAAAACACTTTTTAAAGGAGTATTTACCAAAATTTATTTAGAGAAAAATGTAAATGTGCAGTATTTCTGAATTTTCAAACATTTGGTAAAGATAAAACTGTAAAACTCAATTAATTAGACAGACTTTTTGATTAACAAAATTTAATTTAACCATTCAAACAAAGTATAGAAAAATGAAAATGGAAAAAACTAATAATGTGTTTTATGGATTCTCGTGCGTGAAATGCGGCACTTCCGGTATTCTGCTGGTTAGTCGACGCCAGCAAAATGAAGTCGAGGATTTTTTTTAATCGAATAGTCGAATAAAATCGATGAATCGCGACAGCCCTAGTGTTCAGTTTATTTAAATTCTAGTTACATTTTTTTTTTTTCATTTTGTAATGTGCATTTGCCATTTTTATTAGTTTTTGTTCTTTTTAAATATTACAATTTAGGTTTAATATATTTTTATTTCGGTTTTATGTTTCATTTTTACATTTTTCAGTTTTACTTTGTATTATGTGCTTTTGTCATTTTTTATTAATTTCTGTTTTTTTTTTTAAATATTACTATTAAGGTTTATTTTTTTTATTAGTTTTATTTTGTATTTTTATATATTCAATTTAACCTCTAGTTTATTTTGTATGTGCTTTGTCATTTTTATTCGTTTTTATTATTTTTAAACATTGCTATTTAGGTTTATTTTATTTTTATTACAAATTTAGTTTTTATTTATTTCCAGTTAGCAATTTTTGTGCTTCAACTTAAACTTACTTCTGTTAGTTGCCAAGGCAACATTTCTAGTTTTTCATCTAATATTTAGATTTTGTTTCAGTTTTATTTCAATGAACAAAAATGTTTAAATAGTTTTAGTTAAGCCCAACTCTCTGAGAGGAAACTGACGTCTGAAGGTCAGCTACTGATCTCATCATCAATTCAAATATGACTGGCTCTCAGGCTCCTCCCATCTGGCGGCTGATTGGATGAGAGGTAATGGGGCATGTGATTGGCTGAGGATGGGATAATTAGGCTGCGTTCCAGTGGCTCTCAGTTCAATTATGCTAACAAGCTTGACGAGCTCTCCAAAACAAACACTCACACAGCTACAGGCGTCCATTCATTTACACACACACACACACACACTCCAAACCAAATCCACACCGTTACCACTGAAATACACATTCGCATTTACGCATTTGCATGCACTTATGCTGCATTCAAGGTATTTCATCAGTTCATGCATTTCCAGGGACTCGAACCCATGACCTCCTGCTTGAGCTACTGAAATATAAGTGAATGAGATCTGAAGTGGATCAAAAGCAGATGTGAGGGCCAGTGTGAATAACTTTCAATCCACTTAAACTGAATCCGAGTTGAGAAGGCTGAGGAAAAACCCCTTAAAGAGAAAAGGATGGAGGGGTCAGAGGTCAAAGCCCATGATAATCCAGCTTTATCTCTCACGGCTGAGAAAAATCTGTTTAACAGGATTTATAGACATCGAGACCACCTCACACACACACACACACACAAACACACACACACACACACACACGCACGCACGCACGCGGACGCACGTACACACGCACTCGCACTCACACTCTCACACACACACACACACACACACTCACTCTCTCTCACACACACACACACACACACACTCACTCTCTCTCACACACACACACACACACACACTCACTCTCTCTCACACACACACACACACACACACTCACTCTCTCTCACACACACACACACACACACACTCACTTACTCATACACACAAAAGAGCAGAAGAACTGAAAGCCAAATATCCTCCGGTTTGCATCTGTGAGGGAAGAGAGAGCACAGCTGTGCTGAAACACTCGGAGATTTACCGTGTTTTAGGGTCAATTTCTTGAGTTTACCATATTGGAGCTCTTTAGCTCCTTTGAGGAGGAGAGCTGGTGTTCCTGAGAGCCGTAAGCTTCTTCAGCCGCTCTATTGTTCCTCAACAATGGGCCTGAGCCGTGTGACCGTCCCACCAGATTAACTAACACAGCTGGTTAACTTCACCAGCACGAAAAACACTCGCTGATGAGCTCACGAGATGAGTTTTCCACACCAGAAACCTTTGACTTTATCGAAGTCGATCCGCTTTGACTTGGGCCCATTTTACGGTCTCTTCTGTCACACAGACGTGTAAAAACCCTGAAAGAATCCTGTAAATCTGAGCCGGGAGCGGGACATCGTTCCTCCTCCGGCTCTCCGCTGGACAGTGTTTGGACAGTGTCAGATATTGTTGATCTTACAGGAGGACAAATGAAAGTCTTTACAGTCGTAATGAGCACGCGGGGTTCTGCCCAACGAAATCCTGCTGAATACTTCCAAACCAGACTGATTTAAAAACACGACGACAATTAAGAATAACGAAAGTGTGTGGATGTTAATAAGAGCGATACTGATGTGTGTGTTTACATTAGGAACGAGTTCTTGAGCTAAAACTCTCTTGAAGATTAAAAACACAGTAAATGATGTTCTTACGTGTTCTTTCATTAGTCTGCAGTCGTTATAATTCACTGTATATGTAAACTACAGCAGACGTCTGTGATATGTGTGTGATTGGACTGGACTCTGATGGTGTTTCTACTGTTATTGGATGCGGCTCGGAGCTGATTTCTTCTGCAGGAATCCAGGTGTCCTGGAGCACCATGAAACGTGGAACCAATCACACACACACACACACACACACACACACACACACACAAATGAGCAACTCTCTCGGAGAACATTTGCATCTCGAGAGACAGAAACTAGTTCTAGTAACATGTTCCACAAAGAACTTGGGATTCTCTGGTTCTGTAGAAACGCATCTGTGTTTTGCTGCTTTAAAGAACCTTGAAAACAAAACAATGACCTGAAGAACCCTTCAATAAGCCCATAGCAACTCTAGAACCCATCATAAAAATATTAGATTTTATATTGGCTTTGATGATTCTTCTGAATCCGTCCACTGAGCAGCAGTGTTGGGGGTAACGCATTAAAAGTAACGCCAGTTACGTAATCAGATTACTTTTTTCAAGTAACTAGTAAAGTAACGCATTACTTTTTAATTTACAAGAGAATATCTGAGTTACTTTTTCTCCAATTTATTGACTGACAGCTCTGGTGTTGCCATGGTGACGGAAATCAGAAGATGTTACTGTAGTTCTAAAATAAATATGAATATGCATTAATTCATCTCACTCACCAAAAAAAACAACAACACAGGTTCAGTATTCCTCAAAATGAATAAAAATAATGCAACTCAGAATATGACGCAAACCTGCAATAATTAAATGTTAAACAACACAAATATCCTTTATGTATTTAATCCCATTCTATT